CCCAAGGCCCAGGACCCTCCCAGACCCCCCAGAATCCCAAGGCCCTGGCCTCCAAGCTCCCAGGTGCAGGATACCCCAGGATGCTCTCAGGTCCAGGACCCCAAAACCTCAAGGCCCATGACCCTCCCAGTACCCCCAAAATGCTAAAGCCCTGACCTTTAAGCTCCCACACACAGGATGCCCCAGGAACCTCTCAGACCCAGAACCTTCCAGATCCCAAGGCCCAGGACCCTCCCAGACCCCCCAGAATCCCAAGGCCCTGGCCTCCAAGCTCCCAGGTGCAGGATACCCCAGGATGCTCTCAGGTCCAGGACCCCAAAACCTCAAGGCCCATGACCCTCCCAGTACCCCCAAAATGCTAAAGCCCTGACCTTTAAGCTCCCACACACAGGATGCCCCAGGAACCTCTCAGACCCAGAACCTTCCAGATCCCAAGGCCCAGGACCCTCCCAGACCCCCCCAAATCCCAAGCCCCTGGCCTTTAAGCTCCCACACACAGGATACCCTCAGGCCCAGGCCCCCAAATCCCAAGGCCCAGGCCCCTCAGGCCCCTCTGCCCAGAACCCCAACCCCCAAAGCACCCCCCAGAAACCCAGAACCCCCCCAAGCAGGAGGGGCAACACGGGTGAGGGACTCCAAGCACCGAGAAGGGCCGGGGCTTGGGGCCGAGGCCTTAGTCCTGGCCCCCGGCCTCACCTGAGGTGAGGCCGGGGGCCAGGACTAAGGCCTCGGCCCCAAGCCCCGGCCCTTCTCGGTGCTTGGAGTCCCTCACCCGTGTTGCCCCTCCTGCTTGGGGGGGTTCTGGGTTTCTGGGGGGTGCTTTGGGGGTTGGGGTTCTGGGCAGAGGGGCCTGAGGGGCCTGGGCCTTGGGATTTGGGGGCCTGGGCCTGAGGGTATCCTGTGTGTGGGAGCTTAAAGGCCAGGGGCTTGGGATTTGGGGGGGTCTGGGAGGGTCCTGGGCCTTGGGATCTGGAAGGTTCTGGGTCTGAGAGGTTCCTGGGGCATCCTGTGTGTGGGAGCTTAAAGGTCAGGGCTTTAGCATTTTGGGGGTACTGGGAGGGTCATGGGCCTTGAGGTTTTGGGGTCCTGGACCTGAGAGCATCCTGGGGTATCCTGCACCTGGGAGCTTGGAGGCCAGGGCCTTGGGATTCTGGGGGGTCTGGGAGGGTCCTGGGCCTTGGGTGGGTCCTGAGCCTTAGGGCTTAGCAGCCTGAGCAGCCCTGGGATCTTGGAGATGAGTGCCTGGGGGGTCCTGGGCCTGGGAGGCTGGGGGTCTGGGCTTTGATGTGCAGCCTGTGCCTGGCCCTGTGTGCTTTGGGGGTTGGGGTTCTGGGCAGAGGGGCCTGAGGGGCCTGGGCCTTGGGATTTGGGGGCCTGGGCCTGAGGGTATCCTGTGTGTGGGAGCTTAAAGGCCAGGGGCTTGGGATTTGGGGGGGTCTGGGAGGGTCCTGGGCCTTGGGATCTGGAAGGTTCTGGGTCTGAGAGGTTCCTGGGGCATCCTGTGTGTGGGAGCTTAAAGGTCAGGGCTTTAGCATTTTGGGGGTACTGGGAGGGTCATGGGCCTTGAGGTTTTGGGGTCCTGGACCTGAGAGCATCCTGGGGTATCCTGCACCTGGGAGCTTGGAGGCCAGGGCCTTGGGATTCTGGGGGGTCTGGGAGGGTCCTGGGCCTTGGGAGGGTCCTGAGCCTTAGGGCTTGGCAGCCTGAGCAGCCCTGAGAGCTTGGTGATCAGGGCCTGGGGGGTCCTAGGCCTGGGAGGCTGGGGGTCTGGGCTTTGATTGGGTCCTGAGCCTTAGGGCTTAGCAGCCTGAGCAGCCCTGGGATCTTGGAGATGAGTGCCTGGGGGGTCCTGGGCCTGGGAGGCTGGGGGTCTGGGCTTTGATCTGCAGCCTGTGCCTGGCTCTGGGTGTCCCGTGCCTTGATTCTGAGCTGGTGGCCTGTTTTCCCAGTGGTTTCCATCGAGAGCCCTTTGTTTACCCGGGTTGTGTGAGGCGAAGGCATTGCCAAGGTCCTCCTCGGTGGAGCCTCAAGGAAGGGGTGAAACCAGACCCGCTGGGGGAAGCTTGGTTTGGGGATGGTTTGGGTAGCAGCGTGTAAATAAATAAAGCGATGTCACAGTGGTGTTTCCCTGGGGACAGTGACAGCTCCTGGCTCAAAGCTGTGGCAGGAGGAAACAAAAAGGAGTAAAGCAGGGAGCGTGTCACCTCCCGAGCTGGGAAGGGGGGTCAGCTCTCCCTGCGCCCGTGGAGAGGGCATGGCTGCTTCTGAACAGCTGCTTGGCAGAGACTGGGAGTGTGTGTGTGGGGGGAAATGATCCCTCAGGAGCTGCCCAGTTGCTTCTTCAGGGTGCAGGGTGAGCTGAACCCCCAGCCTGAGCAGAAGGGGCTCTTCTGGGCTTGCGTGATCTTCTGGCAGCCACCGTATGGAGTGAAAGAGTGTGGGGAGTGGGGCTTTTCTCCTGTCTTAATCATCTGCTGGCTTTGATGAGAGATCCCCAGCCCCTAAATGGGGCAAGCAGGACGTGGGCTGGCCGGTCAGGGCGTTAGGTCAAAGCAGTGAGGAGATGGCTGCTGGTGCCAGGCACTGTGAGGAGTTCTCCTGGAGCCTCTGCAGGCCTTGTGTTCAGGTTGGGAATACTTGTGTCGTGTGGGAATACAGAGGAAGGTGTTTTGTCCCACTTGAAAATGGTGACGTCTCTGTGCGCTGGCGTTTGTAGGACAGAGCCGGGAGCGGAGCGCGCGGTTTCCTTGCCGCACGAGGCTGAATGTGCTCTCTGTGCCTTCACTTCTCCCCCTCTGCTGTGCTTCCAGGGGCCCCATCTCTCTGCTCGAGCATGAAGAGCACCCGCAGCAGCTCCTCCTTCCAGGGCACCGGTTCCGGCAGCGTGGATCTGAGCCTGACGGGCCTCCCGGTGCCGGTCTTGCGGCGCCCCAGCAGCGCCTCTCCCGCCAAGCACATGGCGCGCTCCATCTCCGTCACCACCGATGGAAAACCAAAGAGGAACGCTCTGGTGAGTCCTGGGTGGTCGAGGTCCTTCATCCCTCCTCCTGCTTGGGGCAGGAGATACCTGTGGGATCACAGAATCACAGAATCTTCTAGGTTGGAAGGGACCTTAAAGATCATCTTGTCCAACCGTCAACCTAACTGACAAAAATAGACACCCACACAACAAACAAGGAGCATCATCACTAAACCAGACCTCCCAGCACTACATCAACCCG